GCAGGGGGGGAGCAGATCGTGGTTAGGAAAGGGCCGACCGCCTTTTCCCCTTCCAGCAGTTTCCCCCTGCGCTACCTGGGAAGGCAGAGCCAAGGAGCAGGAATGCAGAGAAACCCCCTGCATCCTCCACGTTGACTTAAAATGACTAAGGTAAGAGAAAGATACAGCCAGGTAAAAGATCAGTGTGTCACTGCCCTGGGGTTTCACAGGCCCAAACAGCTACCACCAACACCACTACCATGTTATTTTGCATTACTGAGCTGTGCAGGGGTTTAACTTCATGTATTGTAGGTCCAGGACATCAGGTTTATTGGAAAAATTGCGTGGATAGTAGTGGATTTACACAAAACAGAACTAAAACACTGGGACTGAAAAGAGATTTGCAAGTACTGAAACCTGGAGCATCACCGGGCACCACACAATGTCAGGCTCGTTTTTTCATCCTTTCACTTACATTGGAGCGTTAATACCCATTATAAAGCTAACTTAGGACACAACAGCCACATTGCCAAGGTGGTTCCCTCATGCTTCTGTTTATCTTAAGTCCTTTCCCCTGCTCAAAAGGGCAGAAGATGAAAAATACAAACCCATTCAATATTGTATCGATTTATCCAGCCCTTCAGCAGCACACCTGCTACTTACTATGGCCTACTCACCACAGTACACACACAAAGGCAGTGCCAGCTGTTAACTGCTTGCTGCGAACAAAGGTATAGAAGTTGGATATTGCCTTAGAAACTAACTTCTTCAAAATAGAGAAACAGGAATCTTTGGGGAAAAAGTGAAAGAAAAGCAACACACCTGCTGCTTGTCACTGTTAAGATTTATTATTATAGATAGAGATACACTACATTGTTTTCAAGCAGTACAACAGACAGATTCAAGCAAATAAGCAATGTTTTAAATGATGGAAGACTTGTAATTAAACTCCAGTAAGTACACTACTGGGGTTCAAGTTCTTACCATCTCCCAAGCAGAATGAAAGTTCTTCATGCCTGTTAATGCAGAATTAAAAAGGCACATACTTACATTCATTTCAAGTTATAGTGTATTTATACACAAAAACAGGGATTTTTTATTTTTTACTTGTTACATTCATCTCTTCTTCTGCAAAATTCATTAAAAACAAACCATGTATCAAAATTCTGTTTTCTGTATTGTCCCTCTTATTTCAAACTCTTGTTACAGAATTTAATTTTTCATGTGAGAAAAGAAAATGCAGGACACTTTCTGGTCCAAAACTAGTTAAGGAAAGAGGAAAAACACAGTGGAATACAACTGTATTTTGTGTACTTGCCATATTCAAGAAGACGACTAGTGGTCACAGAAATTCAGGAAACAAGTTGCAAGAAGGGGGGGAAAAAGCCTTAGGTTTTTACCCTTCTTTTTAAAAGAAGACAAGGGAGTCAGTAAATGTTTCAGCATTTAATTTCTTTTTAAACATCAGAAAATGAGAAATATGATTTTTTTTTTTTTTAATAATCACAGCAGCTTTCCTAATGTCTTCAGTGTATGGTAACTAAGAGTTTTGTCCACATATTTGTTTATGTATAAGTGTTTATGTATGCGCTTTCTCAAAATATTCTTTAGAAGCTTCTGGGCTTGGTTTGATCTGTCAAGAAAAGAAAATTTAGTTATTATATGCTGTAAGATAAAAAAATTACATCTTTGACATTTTATCCAAGAAAATGCTTTCCTAATGTCTTCAGTGTATGGTAACTAAGAGTTTTGTCCACATATTTGTTTATGTATAAGTGTTTATGTATGCGCTTTCTCAAAATATTCTTTAGAAGCTTCTGGGCTTGGTTTGATCTGTCAAGAAAAGAAAATTTAGTTATTATATGCTGTAAGATAAAAAAATTACATCTTTGACATTTTATCCAAGAAAATCCATGCATACTTTATAAAAACAACAGGTTATTTCTGTTTCTGCACTCAGTTAAAAGATGAAAGCCTAAATGATGTACAAGCTCCTACTTGCAAATTTGAAGTATAAAACACATTTTTCCTGCTAAATATCAAGCAGGGCATTAAATAAGTTGAAAAATCTGAAGACAACTGGTAAAAAAATCTGAAGACAACTGGTGCAGAGTGCAAGTCAAATTTAGAGTTTTAAATACAACTTGTGTTTTCTAAAAGAAAATCGGTGACTTTCTTCACAGAAATCAAACATATTTAATATCATACAAATAGACTGAATTGGTCCAACCAATAAAAGCCTCAGATTTAGACTTGAGTCTGTGCCTGTTGTCAAGCACCTCACGTTAAAGTGGTTCTCAGCCCTTCAGACATGCAAAAATATGCCAGTGTCTATATTTAGAAAAGTGATATTTAGCAGATGCTTACTGTAGGGGAGTCTGGAGTCCAGTTTGCCGGGCAAACCTCTCCATGTGTTTCCACGTACTGGAATGCTTTCACCAAGCGGAGGGTCTCTTCCACGCTGCGACCGACAGGGAGATCATTGATACTTAGATGCTTGATGAGCCCATTTGGATCAATGATGAAGAGACCTCTGTAATTGAGCAAGAATTTAGGGAATGCAAATCACGTTCCAAGACCAAACACAAGAAACTGGATGAACTATTTCAACAAGGCAGTTATTCTTAGATGCACATATCAGAGTTAGGCGTAGCAATACAGCATTTGATACATTGTTTGTTAATGCAGTGATCAAAAACCAAGAACCAGTCAACTGGCATGGTATTGTGAAATTACAAAGTATGCATAAAGACTATTAAATCGAGACAGATGTATAACAAAGGTAGAACTTCTAATTCCACCTACATTTCGAAGTTGATAGCTGGCATCCTTCCCATGTCTTTTTGATATGAAAATCCGAAGGTACTGAGTGAAGAGCTGCTTACGCATTAAGCTACTAAATTAAATCCTGTTGCATATAAACGTTTGTGAAAACCGAAGTCCCAGTCTTACCATATTAATTAACTTAATTTGTCAACAAACAAATGTCAGAAGTTCCTGATCCAAAGAGATCAGGAACCAAAGGTCTCCAGAAGATTCCTACCCAGTCCAATGGATCTTGGGGACCACTATTTACTTTTAATAAGTATTCCCATGGTGGAGAAGAAAATGTCAGTTTGTTTTTATTCTAGATAACTATAGGATTGACTGTAGTGGCCTCTAGGACTACTGCTTTAGAAACTTCTCACACAGAAGTTAAGGTAGTCTCTTCTCCCTTCATAAGAAAGAAAACAAAAAAAAGGGACAGACCTAAATTGTGAAAAAAATGTAAAAAAATTGTAAAATGCTCTTCTATCCTACTCGTTTTCCTCAGTGACATGGAGTTCTCCCACTCACTCAGAACAGAATAGCTGGCTTTCCCCTGCATGCATTCTCAGAGAGGCCTGGAACCATTCTCAACTTAATGGCCATAACGGCCATGTGCCCTTTTCCTAGGGTGGGATCCAGCAGAAGTTCTGCAGAACAAGTAACATCTTACAGTCTTCATTTGATCCTTGTGCAGTTTCCCCTGCAGGAGGAGACAGTATGGCTCACATTGTTTTAGATTGGCTTGGTCATAACCGAGTTATCGGCAATCATGCGTTACCTTAGTGCTATGCCAGGTCCTTCTAGCAGCACACCGTAATCACGGGAGATTTGTTTTGTGAGGTCCGACAGAATTGGAATATTCATTTTGCCCAAACCGCCGCTCTAGAGAAAAAGAGTAAGATTCCATTTTGTTACAAAACGCTTTTTAGGATTATCCTTCTTGAGTTGCTGGATTCAGCGCTCTTGAGTATACTAACAACAGAACACATTCATGCCATTTGCTCCATGAAAGGAACCACGAGGGGGTGGGGGGTTGTTGTTTGGTTGGTTTTGTTTGTTTTTTTTAAAGTAGTCAGGAACATTTGGTTTCTTTGGAACATGAAAACTTCTTCTGCACTGAGCATTTTAGAATTGCTTATTTTGGTGGTAAAAGGCTACCTATGACAACAGTCATAAATTTTCAGAAAGATTTCCCTTGTACACTCTTCAGGAGCTTTGAATACAAAAATTTCTACTGCATATTTAAGTGTTCAAAATTAAACAGGATGAACATGGTGGGGAAGGAAGGGAAAAACAAACCTGCATACTATGAACAGACAAAACACAAGGCTTCTAAGAGCCACGCTAGGTATGTCAGAGTTCTGCTGCTCACTCTATTTAGTGCATGTATTTCCCCCCCCCCCAAAAAAAAATAAATTTAAATGCTATTTGGAGAGTCAACCAAGATTTCTTTCAGTTTTGCAACATACTGGAACCGCAACAGAGATAAACTCTCTATCCTTGAAACAAGCCCAGAGTTTGTTAGCTTTTCTGTTCCTGGCATCATCAGTGAATCATTGTGTAACCTCAGTCACTCAGACCTTGATCCTGCAAATGCTTGCCTGCAATGGAGTTCTCATACGCAGAGCTTTGAGCGCAGATGTCGGAGAAACCAAGGCCTTAGCTTCTCCGGGTGTCAGTTTCCTGTCTGCGCCACCACGGAATTCTTTCCACCCTTTGCAGGGTGTTTTGCTACACGTGCACCGAGCAGTGCCTGACTGGCATACGCTGAACAGCTTTCGCACAAAGCAGTGAAGTCAGTCCACAATCACATTTTAGAGCTTTGAACAAAGCATGCAGAAAACTAAATACTCTCAATAGGTTCAGCCAAGCCATATTAAATCTAGCAAACTCTCCTCCCTCCCCTGTATGTTACAACAGCAAAGCTATGCACCTGGAGCCACCTCAGTCTGCGAGCACTACTGCAGCCTGCTGTCCACACGGGTAACGACTGATGGCACAGGAGCTTCTACACCTTCCTGCGACACTTCTGATTCTCTACAACTAACCAAACCAGTGAGGTGCTTTATGTGATTGAAAGTGGGCAGTTTTATATACATGTGGAAGAGGCTCCACTCCAGTAAAAGGCCATCTTTATAACTTTCTTTCCCTGAAGAAAGCTGAGGACTTCTGTTTGTACTGCAGAAGTGGAACTATTTCAGCAAGTGAGAGTTAATAATACAAGTGCTCCAATAAACTCGTCATTCTTCTGCTTCCATTCTGAAGCCACCACTGTTCGGTATTGGTTAACAATAATGACTAAACAGCTGCTGTTCATTTTCTGTGAGGGCGCACACAAACCATCAGCTGTAACAAACAGCTTAGGACGGTGACATGTATACTGAGTATTTGTCTTTCAAGATAAACATATAAGGATATGATGTAACCTACAAGACTATCAAGAGAGTGAAACAAAGATTTAAAAAACCCCAAATTATTAAGGAAAAGAGCAAGAAAACAAAGACTGAGGTCAGAATTATGTCATCAAATGTAGAAGTTAATTACTTCACGTATCACTTCAGGCAGTCTATTGAAATCGGTGTTTGCACAATTGTTCACTCAACTCCTCAGGAGCTCTTGTGAAAAGAGAATAAACCAACAGAGAAAGCCCCAAACAGCTGCTCAATTCATACCTTTCGTGGTGTATTTATCCAGGCCAGATGACAAAAATGAGAATCCACAGAAACTGCCACCACTTCACAGTTCACGTCATGAAATTCATTTGCTTTGTTGCTGAAAGCCACAATTTCTGTGGGGCAGACAAAGGTGCTGGGTAGGAAGAGAGAACAGGCTGTAATGATTCTGCAATCTTTTCAGAGAATTTTTTAGAAAAGACTCCCATGTCTGTTTCTAGGCACTAATGCAGCAGAGCATTTTCTTTAGCCTGATAATTTTAACCATGTTTCCTGCTCAAGATTAGTTTCAGTCAGTCTCAAAGCAACAGCCATAGCCACCTAGCTGGCATACCAGTTTTCAACTCTTAGTTCTAGACATTTTTTGCAGAGATGGAGAAACTGTCTCTGCTAGACACTCTCTAGACAGAGAGTTTTTGGAAACTATAGCAGAAAGGACTGCAGGTTAAATCCTTCCCCATGTGCCCCGATACACCAGGATGCTCTTGGCAATTCAAGTCTTCTGGACAGGCTCAATTCCATCTGTTCACCTTTTGCTCTGGAGTCGTCTAGCTGCAGTTCTGCTGGCCCTGCTGCTTAAAAGGAGAGAGCCTCCAACATTACCCCAAACTGCAAGGCAATGTCTTCACCCCTGGGATCTGACTGTAAGAGGAACCACACTTGCAAGGCCACATCTGCTTCCTGAAGCAGCCCCGGCAGCTAGAAGATGCTCTCCAGCCACCGGATCCATTACTTTAGCACGCAGTGGCCATTTGTCCCCAAGTCTTACCACTCACACTCTAGAAACAGACACATCTGCCTTGCAAGACTAGCCTGGATAAGGTGAAAACAGCTGCTTTAGACAGCGATGATCTGCAGCACTTCCGATGATCTTCAGCAAGGCAGGAGACCCATCTGAAAGGAGAGAAACCCATACTCACAAGTCCAGGGGGTAGAAGAAGAGGACGAGGTATTTCCCCTTGAAATCATCCAGGCTCAGCTCCTTGAACTCTCCGTTAACAACAGCCGTCAGCGCTTGGGCCCCCGCCCCGCCGGGGCCGGGCGGGGCCGCCTCCTCCTCCTCGGAGAAAAAAGAGCTTCGGACTGTGCCGCCGCCCCGCCGGGGCCGGGCCGGGCCGCCTCCTCCCCTCGGGCGCAGCCGCAAGGGCGGCCGGGGCTGGCAGGCCGCAGGAGACGTTCCCGCCGCCTTGCCCAGGACGAGCCCGGGGGGGGGTGGTGCGTTCCCGCCGCGCTCCCCGCACTTACCAAGGCTGAACTGGCGGCGGGCGCAGGGAAGCGGGCGCGCCG